ACAGCCATTATGAAAAACAAAAGCTAACAATAGAACTACGCTATGATTCAGCAATCCCATTAATGGATCTATATCCAAGGAAACAGAACTCAACATAGAAAAGATATTTGTCCCCCTCCGCCATGCTGTAGTACTGTTCACAACAGCTGAGATACAGAAACAATGTAAGTGTCCATCAGCAGCTGAAATGAGTAAAGAAAATGTGGAATAAATACATAATGGATTGCCATTTACATCAACATCGATGCTCCTGAAGGACACTATGCTAAGGAAAGTTAAGTCACTTAAAGACAAACGCTGCATATGTTTAACTGCAGAATCTGAAAAAGTCACTCACACAAGCAGAAAGAGCAGAGCAAAATCATGAGTGGTAAGGAGTGAATACGGCGCAGATAGGCAAAGGGTACAGTGCTTCTATTAGAAGCACATTTTGGATATCTGTTCGTATAGTGATACCGATAGTCAACAGTAATACATTGCATATTTCAAAAATCTAGGAGTAAATTTCAAATGTCTCACCATAAAAAATAAGCTTGTTAGTAAGTGATGGATATGTGAATCCTCTCGATTTAGTCACTCTGTATTGTACAACATATATGAAAATGCCACACTGTATTCTGCTACTGCATGTAATTATTATTTATCCATAATAATGTTAATTTAAAAAATGTATTTATTTTTATTGGAAAGTAAGATTTATAGAGAGGAGACACAGAAAGATCTTCCATCTGCTGCTTCACTCCCCATGTGGCCACAATAGCCAGAGCTGAGCCGATCTGAAGCCAGGAGCCAGGAGCCAGAGGCTTCCCCTGGGTCTCCCACATTGGCACATGGTCCCAAGACCTAGGGCCTTCCCTGATTGCTTTCACAGGCCACAATCAGGAAGCTGGATGAGAAAAGGGGCAGCCAGGACATAAACTAGTACCCATAGGAGATCCTGATGCATGCAAGGCAAGGATTTCAGGCACTGGACTACCATGCCAGGCCCAATGATTTGAAGACAGCATGGCATAGAAAGAGGAAGAAACAGAATGAAGATCCTCTGGTTCACTCCCCAAAAGACTATAACAGAGTTAGACCAAGCTAAAGCCTGAGCTCCATCTGGTACTCCCACATGGGTGGCAACGGCTCCATCGTTTGAACCTTTATCTGCTGCTTTCTTGAATACATAACAGAAAACTGAATCAGAAGTGGAGAAGCCAGGACTTGAACCAGCACTCCAACAAAGAATGTGCGTGTCCCAAGTACTGGCTTAATCTGTGGTGCCACAATGCCCATCCCTCATTTTTTTGGAGAGTACAGATTTTAAAATGTAACTCATAGTCAAAAGATCAGGAAGCAAAATGACAGTAGATTTCACATAACACTGAAGATCAGAAAGCAATGGAGGCATGCCTCCACAATTACAAGGCAGTATTTCCAACCTATCAAGTATGACAATTGATTTTATAATGTTCACAAATGAAAATTTTCAAAAAATTTACTTCCACGTATTATTTAATAAACAGTCTTAATAAACAGTGGGAAAATTTGTTACAAATAATTAAGAGAGTAAAACTATAATAGGGAAGAGGAAATCCAGGCAGAACCTGGCGTGTACTCTAAAATTTACAGAACAGTGAATCCAGGGAGGCTAATTATCTGGCTGTGTAACAGAGAGTGCAGCATACCCGTGAACTAAAAACTTAATTGTAGAGACCTTCAGAGAAGTTCCTTCTAGTGTTCAACAGAATACTGATCAATACATGCATCTGAGGCAATTACACAAAGTTTTGTGTGTGGTTGGTGGGGGTAAGTTATCCAAAAAGATTAACATGAAAAATCCTTGGTGCTCATGTAGAGCCAGGAATAACGTCTGTTCTCACCAGCTAGACTGGAAAAATCTTACGATTCTAGGACACTGGGTACAGTACTCAGAGGGTTTCGCCTCAGTAGTGGGGAAAAAATGTAGACTAAACACTGCTGTCATCTCATCTGACAAATATTAAAATCAAGGCTTGAAAGGATCAAGTCATCTTATACAATAAACTTACTGTGTCTCAGAACAAAGACTACAAATATACATATATATACATATACAAATATATATGTATTTTTAAAGATTTCTTTCTTTGAAAGGCAGAGTTGGGAAGGGGAAGAGAGATCTTTCATTTGCTGGTTCATTAAAAAGTCTTCAATTGCCTTGGCTGGGTAAGGCTGAAGTCAGGAGCCTGGAACTCCATCCAGGTCTTCCATGTGCATGCAGGAATCCAAATAGTTAGCACATCTCTCACTGCTTTCCTAGGCACATTAGTGGGGAGTTGGACCTGAAATGGAGCAGCCAGAACTGGAAGTGGTGCCCATGGAATACTGGCATTGCATACATTAGCTTAACTCACTGCACCAAAATGACACCTCCAAGCTTAAAAATATTTATAGAAATACAAAATATACAGCAATTAACGAGAAAAATACAGTCTTGGATCCAATTAGAGATTATCAAAAATGCAAAGATTCAAGAAAATGCAACTCATAATGAAATCAATCAACTAGCTGAAACTGACCCAGACCTGAAACAGACGTTAGAATAGGGCAACGACATTGATACAATTTTAATAACTGTATTCCATACATTCAAAAAGTTAGAGGAAAGACTGAATATCTTTAGAGATATGGAAGATATTTTTTCAAAAGAAAAAGATCAAACTCCTTGAGATGAGAACTACAATATTTCAGATGAAAAAAATACACTGGAGAGGCTAATGGCAGATTAACAGTTATAGAAGGAAAGTTGTGGGCCCGGCGGCGTGGCCTAGTGGCTAAAGTCCTCGCTTTAACACGTCCCGGGATCCCATATGGGCACCAGTTCTAATCCCTTAAGCTCCACTTCCCATCCAGCTCCCTGCCTGTGGCCTGGGAAAGCAGTCGAGGACAGCCCAAAACTTTGGGATCCTGCACCCTTGTGAGAGACCTGGAGGAGGTTCCTGGCTCCTGGCTCTGGATCAGCATGGCACTGGCCATTGCGCTCACTTCGGGAAAGAATCATCGCAAAGAAGATCTTCCTCTCTATCTCTCCTCCTGTATATATATCTGACTTTGTAATAAAAATACATAAATCTTTAAAAAAAAAAGAGGGAAAATTAGTAAACATACAGATATACCAATAGGAGTTACCCAAAATGAAACACATAAGAAAAAACAAAAGATATCCCTACCATGGTAAAAATAGAGCATCTGTTGAGTATGGGATAACTTCGAGCAGCCTAATATGCGTCTAATTGGAGTTTCCAAAAGAGATGAAGGAAATGGCATTAAAAAAAAAACCACCTTGAAAGGCTGAAACTTTTTTCCAAATGTGCAGATGTCAATTGGTATTGTCTAAAACTCAGAAATTACAAATATCAATAAAAGGATTATTTAGGAATTAAGTCATGCCAATTGAAACACCTACTAGAGCTGAAATTGCTGAGCTTCATTATAAAATCTACTGTCACTAAACTCCCCTGGCTTGAGTCTTGCCTCTGTCCTTTACTGGTTGGACATTCTTAATCAAGTTACATAACTTCCTAGGCTCGTCCTGTGATTTTTAAAATGGGTGCAATAGAAGCATGTATCTCGGAAGATTTTTTAAGGATTTAAATGAGTTAACATCGCTTAAAATAATTCTCGATGATGATGACGACGGTGATGATGATTAAACAGTGGAATGAAGGATAAGGAAGGCTTAGGAATTTCTTGTACTGTGTCTTGTAGCAATGTTTTATTTTCTAATTATTCACAATATATCACTTCAATATAAACAAGTTTCAAAAATGAGTATTTAAGATATGAGTATTTAAAATATGAGTATTAAGTTAGGAGAGAGGAATTAGAACAGTTTTAACAAAATATGCTAGGGAAGAAAGTGAAGGACATGGTGATAAACAGGGGCTATGAGGTAGAAGAAAACTGTGGTTTGGGTTTTTTAATAAATGAATTTAAAAGCAATTGTAATATCAAACACACATAGGAATGGAAGAATCTGTCATTGAGAAGTTTATCATTTCCTATCTATGGTTATAAAATAAGGAGGGATCTGATAAGCATAAGCAGAAAAGTAGAAGGTTGAATTTTAAGGTGAGCACAAAAGATATGAAACTAGTCATTTTGAAGATGAGTCAAAAAAGAAAGCTGCTTAGAGAGAGATTCCAGGTCAGTACCAAGAGCCAGGGTAAGATCAGAAGTCATAAATGCATGATTCAGTAACACCATCACCACTGGTGATGTCATTTTCCCCAGCAGGGCTCTGCAACTGAAACACAGATGGTGCCTGACTTATGATGCTTCAACTTAACAATTCTTTGTCTTTAAAACGATGTGAAAACAATACACAAGCTGCAGAACCTATACCCAGAATTGGGGATTTTGACTTTATCAGCTAGCAAATGTAATATAATGTTTTTTGTTTGTTTGTTTGTTTGTTTGCAATTCTGGGTGTTGCCCATGGTTCCAGTCAGTTAGACAATCACAAGGGTAAACAACCAACCCTCTACAGCATGCTGTGTTGTTAAACTAGCATGTTCAATAGGTTAAATGTATTATATGCATTTTCCACCTTTTAACATTCCCAATTTACAATCAGCTCATCAGCACATAAGTCATGAAACATTTGTTATAGGAAAGGAAAAGGTGGGGATAGCTGAACTGATTCGGGCATGGATTTGTATCAGGTTGATGTGATAAAGGATACTAGTGGCTAGGGAACCAGGGATACTGAAAGGGAACAGCTGAAGTGAGAAATCACAGACTCAAATAAGCTAAGGAAAAACTTTTGAAATGTGTGCATATAAAGGGCCTTCAGAAAGCTCATGTAAAAACTATGCATGAATTTCAACAAAAATGTGCATCAAAATAAACATTTTCAATTCCATTTTCCACAAACTTTTTGACGTCTCCTCTTAAGTGCTGGAACAGACCCAAGGGACTTTAAGCTAGTCCTTTTTCCCAAAAGCAAGCATTTTCAAGCAATATAAAGAACTCACCTCTCAGCAATATTTTTTGCAGACTGTAGAAACCGTGCCTGGTCATTTTCTTTCAGGATATGCTCAGCTTGGTTGATGAGGACTGTTGACCGTTCAAGACATTGGCGGCAATTAGCAACCTGCTGTGCCAACTTTCTCAGTTTCATAACCTTAAAGGAGTTGGCACCAAAAAATAAAATAAGATAAAGCTTAAAATACTTAATTAAAAGCAATAAAGTAATATGAAGGATATCTGATGCAGTGCTTCCAAAAATAATGTTTATTAACATCTTACGGCCCCTAACCATTCACCTGTTCTCTACTAACCACTAAGTCTGTCTTGTAAATTCCGCCCATCTACAGGTCGCTCCCACTCAGTAATACACTCTCAATTATCTACTTCCTCTTTCTATTAATAACATTAATGTTCCTGATTGTAAAAGCAATGTACACTCCTTATAAAACATTTAGAAAATAAAACATACAAAGGAACCTCTATAACCCCCGAGATCACCATTGTTCACATTTTATTTTCTCCCTCCTATATATATAATATATATTATTATATATAATGTATATACAGTGTTATCTTTTTAAGAGGATCTACATTTCTGCATGTGTCTCTCTGTGTATCCATGCATACATGTACGTCCACAAATCTGTATTCTTATAAACTCCGATCCTGCATTAGATAGAACTACCCAGCATGACACAAAGTATGGATCATCACTCTATAGACTCTCATAATTTCTCAGGCTGCACACACAGCATGGGCTTATAATCACCAGCACTGGACAGAAAGCCAAAATCTAAAACTGTGTAACTGTAAGGAGGTCTACACCTAACTTTGACCAAAATTTTCAGTTTCCAGGCTAGAAAGCTGGGAGTCTTCTCTGACTCCTTTCTCTTTTGTATTTAATAAGTTGATGATTTCTATTATTTCCTTTCTAGTAACACTTATTATCTTCTTCCCTTATATTTGTGCTGCTGATACTGCTTCAGGTCTTTAACAATTTATACTAAGGATCATTATATAAGCCTCAAAATGTGCTTCCCTGCCTTCCATATCAACACATTCTTATCTACCTTGGACACTTTGGCCATTTCAATAAGGTTTTCCTCTTCCTAAGACAAGCATGGCTTCTCAATACCTTTCAGAGTAAGCTCAAAAGTGGATAATCACGGTCCTTCCAAAAGCATAGCTAATATTTCTACCATTTTCCTTTTTTTTCTTTTTTAAGATGTAGGATATTTCCAACAGGCCAGAATTGCTACCATGTTTATTAAAATCACAACACTAGCCAAACATTGCTTATTTGTCTCTCCCAGCAACCTCATTTTATCTTGCTGTTGTGATCCAAATTCAAACTGCAATCATGGGGATCAAATGCTGACATTTATAAATGTCAAGGTGTCCTGGAACACACTGAGGTACTATGTTTTACCTTTGTCTCTTTGATTTTGACAGCAATCATTTGCTTCCTTTGCTGGATGATTTCTACCAATTCGTCACATTCTTCCATGAGCTTTGCTTCATGCATAGCAGTATTCACCTGCCAAGAGAGTCCAGAATATTACACAGTGATTGCTGCCTTTGTCCCCTGCTGGTTCTAAAAGGTTCGGACTGACAGCTAAGCATGCACAACTTCTTCCATACCTCCCTCATAAGATCCACTCCTAGAAGAAGGGTAGAGATGATGATATTAATGATGCAAGGGCATTGAAGCACCACAGATAGGAAGCTCTCCGGACCTCTGGTAGATCATGATGGTTAATGGAAGGCTGGGCAGAAGGACAGATGAGATGGGGGCATGTTATTCCCACTGTGCAATTCCCTTTACTCCAGCACCCTGTCCTCCTGCTGTTCTTTTGGAATGAGGGTAAGGAGATTTTTGCATGTCAAGAAAAGTGAATCCTCCTCCACAGGCACAATAATAGTTAAATAACATTACAATAACACACGTCTACTGTCCTAACAAGAATATTTTCAGTTTTCCTTATTGCCTTCTAACTTATGAATCTATGAATGGGCAGATATATTTTCATGTTAAATATATGAACAGGCATGTATATTTTTTCACACAGTGGTCATTATGTTCTAGGAGCTATTTCTCACCTTGGGCTGTCCAGTATCTGAATATCTGAACTATTTTAGGACACTGGCTACATCAAAAATATTTTTCAATGTAAAATAAAAAAGCCACTTTTAATCATACTCTTTCCATGGACTGTTTCTTCCTACCTCTAAACCTACTGACATTACATGGTACAGAGCACCCAAGGGAGCTAAACGTAGGGCAGAAGATCTTTGTGCTGCCCAAGCACAAAAGGAAAAGAAGAAGAAAAAAATAACATCTGTTAAGTACTTAATGTCAAGCCCTTTATAAATGATTTTGTAGTTATCACAACTTATATTTCTGTTTCACAGGAGGGGAAACTGGGGTTTGGGAAATTATAGTGGCTACCTCGAAATCACTTAGCTAGTCAGCGGTAAAACCAGAATTCCAACCGAGTTCTGTCAAGTGAAACCCCTGGGCTGGCTGGGTGGGCAGACGAGGTTCAGATCCATTTCAGCAGCACACAGAGCAGTCACACAGGGAAGCACAATCACTCCAAGAGTCTAGTCAGGGATCACTCGAGCAGAGCTCTAGAAGGCTGAGGAATAGACAATGGGTTATTCAATAGCATCAAAACTCAAGGGGCTAGATGTGCTTCATTTGCAAGCTAAGGCTGCATTTATAGTCGATACGCTTCTTCAGAGGGTTCCTCTTCCTATCCCAACCCCAGAAAAATATTCATTGCTGGACGCTGTTTACCCCATCTCTCATCCACAAAGGTCCCATCTGGATAATTTTCTTTGCTACTTTACTAAAATGACATGTTTGTCACTGAGTGACAGCTGAATTTTGCTTTATTTCCACTTTCCAGGGAGTGAGCCATAATAAGCTGCTTTTCATTCTGAACCATTCAACTCTTTTTTTTCCTCAGAACTCTCTCCCTTTCCCTAAATGGGATCTACCTTTCCAAGGCAGATATCTTATCATGTTAAGGAACAAGAGATTTATCTAGTTCCCCCTGAGTCCCTGCTGACAGTATGTAGAAACTTAAGATACTTCCCTTCTATAGTTCCTTTTTGAGACTACTGCTGGTGCAGTACAGTACCTTGTTGTTTCATACTAACTTTATAAAGCACTCACTATATGTCAGGCACTGCCCTAATCAGATTATACACATCAGCATTTTCAAACCTCAACACAGCCCTGGGAGACAGATATTATCATTCTCTTTTGGCAGATGAGAAAACGAGTATACACAGACTCAGTGACTTGCTCAAGACTATCCGTCTAGTAGCAGCAGTGAAGGGACTGGGAACTCACACCTTTAACGCTTTCCTATACCACCTGTGCATCCTGGTGTACCAACATCTCTGTCTATAGTTTGCAAGATCATTATCTCTTTTGCATCATTCATCTTCATCCTCTCATCCCTTTCTCAGCCACTTCAAAATTCTAATTGCTTCTCCTAGAGTGCCACGTGCTTTTCAGGTTCTGTGTCTTTCCACAAGATTCTTCTCTTAACTTAGAAAGTCATTCCCATTTTCATTTACTGAACAAACATCTACTTATCCTTCAAGACTCTGCTTAATGATCACACTATTGGGCCCAGAGCAGTGGCTCAGTAGCTAAATGGTCGCTTTCCACAGGCCAGGATCCCATACAGGCACCAGTCCTGGTCCTTGCTACTCCATTTCCCATCCAGCTCCCTGCTTGTGCCCTGGGGAAGAAGCAGAGAATGGCCCAAAGCCTTGGGACACTGCACTTACATGGGAGACACAGAAGCTCCTGGCTTCAGATCGGCTCAGTTCTGGCTGCCACAGCCATTTGGGGAGTGAACCAGTGGGGAAAAGATTTTCTTTCTGTATAAAATGTGCCTTTCAAACAAAAATAAATAAATTTTCAAAATTTTCTTTAAATAACGACCTCATGGGCCTGGTGGCAATACCAAAGTGGCTAAATTTTCACCTTGCATTTGCCAGGATCCCATATGGGCATCGAATCATATCCCAGCTACTCAACTTCCCATCCAGCTCCCTGTTTGTAGCCTGGGAAGGCAGTAAAGCATGGCCCAAAGCCTTAAGACCCTGTACCTTCATGGGAGACCCAGAAGAAGCTCCTGGCTCCTGGCTTAGGATTGGCTCAGCTCTAGCCATTGTTGCCATTTTGGGAGTGAACCATAAGAAGGAGGATCTTTGCTTCCTTATCTCTGTAAATTTGCCTTTTCAATAAATCTAAATAAATCTTAAAAAAAATCATCCTGGAGACTGACAGACACATGAAAGCGGCAGACACAACACCAGCGGCATTTAGTGAGTGGTGATCTGAACTCAACCAGCAGCTGGAACTTCATCAGCAACCAGGTGGGAAGGGACGTTTACTGGGAGTTCAGGAGGTGAACCAAGACAAAGAACTGCCCATCCTACTGGTCTGTTTGATTTGACCAGGAGCAGAGACAGAGCAGCAGATCCCAGACAGGCAGTGTGTGGGAACAGGGTGGATTTCACAACCCAGTCCATACCCTAGAGCTGTATTGGCCGCCATTTTGTTTAAGGAGGCAAGGGCAATGGACAGTAGCACATGCACTGAGCTGGGAGTGAACTCATTTCTCGCTCAGTGAACTGCAACAGCATAAAATCCTACAGGTTCCACCCAGTATAGGTCTGGGCAGTCCCTAGACCTGGCAGGCAACAGATCAAGAACTCTAGTAGTGATACATCTACTATGTAAGTATGGTGTGGCAAAGGCTTTAAGACTTGAGAGACAAGACGGGCATGCGCTGAGCTGGGTGAGTTAGCTCACTAGTCCCACACAGAAAATAATACTGACTATGCCATCGTATAGGTAAAAAGAGGTCCGTGGAACCCTCACACATAAGAGCCAACAGGTTCCAGCAAGATCAGCAAGATCAGCACCACCAACAACCTAGTTATATAGGACACCTGGTGTCTTCCCTAATTCCTGGGATCTACACCAACCAGAAGTGGAGAAGGTTGTACACACAACAGGGCAGCCTCAGCATGGAATCACAGAAGGTGGAGAGTGGTGAGTCAGGATCTGGAGCTACAGAAACCATGGTGGAAATCTAACATAAGAACCCAGACCTGGAACTCATTAGAGGGAGTAGCACAAGTGACTTCAAACAAAAAGCTGTGTACCAACTGAAATAAGTAAAATCAAACTGCAGACCTAGGGGTGACACAGCTAGGAAACCTGCCCCAAGGAGTAGAATCTGATAACCAGAAGAAGTGCAATGACCAAGAACAAAAGAGGAGACAGAGTCACAATGAATATTACTGAAGATTCCCCTGCAAAGGAGCAAAAGCCTGTGCCAACCTCAGAGTTCACTGAGGAATACATCAAGAAAACTGGGGATACAGAATTCAAAACACTTGTTATAAAGCTTCTGATCAGCAATGAGAATCACATAACACAGGAGCTCAAGGAATTTAATGAATATGTCACACAGAAAATGAATCAAATGAAAGCTGATATATCAGGAATGAATAATACACTGGAGCAAATTAAAAGTACAGTGGAGAGTCTCCAATATAGAATGAATGAGGCAGAAGAAAGAATCTCAAAATTAAAAGTTATTTCCTATCACCAAGGGGAAACAAACAAAAAGCTGAAAGCAGAGCTGTGTCAAGCTAAAATGTGTATTGAAGAATTGAAAGACACTATTAAAAGCCAAATATAAGAGTTATGGGACTCTCAGAAGGTGCAGAAAGACAAACTAGGATTAAAGGTGTATTCAATGAAATAATAAGGGAAAGTTTCCCTAATCTAGAGGAAGAATTGGAAAACAATATCCAGGAGGAGCACAGAACTCCCAACAGTGTTGATCAAAAGCAATCTTCACCAAGACACATGATCATCAAGCTCTGTTCTATAGGACATAAGAAAAAGGTGCTTAAATGTGCATGTGAAAAAAATCAATTGACATATAAAGGAATGCCAATTAAACTCACAGGAGACCTCTCACAGGAAACTCTACAGGCCAGAAGAGAATGGAACGACATATTCCAGATTCTAAAAGCAAAAAAAAAAAAAAAAAAAAAAATGTTGGCCCAGGATAACATACCCAGCAAAGCTTTCATTTGTCTTTTTAAATGAGATAAAATTCTTCCACGGTAAATAAAAGTGAAAAGAATTTGCCTCTTCCAAAGCTGCTGTACAACTGATACTTAAAGATGTTCTCTTGACAAAGAAGAGGATTAGTACCCACCAAAACCAAAGGCCAATGTGAAGAATATCCCAGTAAAAGAGAAGACTAAATCAATGAACAACCCATTGCTAAATGACAGGACCAAATTACCACCTATTCATATTAACTCTGAATGTAAATGGCTTAAACTCATCAATCAGTGTCATAGATTAGTAGACTAGATTTAAAAAAAAAAAAAAACATCTATTTGCTGCCAACAGGAGACATATCTCACCAACAAAGATCAGCTAAATTGTATCTCATGGATTTTGACTTTTTTGTTAGTTTCACC